GTGATGACTTGAAGGTGCGAGGGTATAGTGACACCAGTTTTCAGACCGACAGGGACAACTACCGTTCGCAGTCGGGCTGGGTCTTTACCCTGAATGGAGGAGCAGTAACTTGGAAGAGTTCCAAGCAGGAAATCGTATCTGATTCAACGTGCGAATCAGAGTACATCGCAGCGAGCGAAGCGTTGAAGGAGTCAATATGGCTAAAGAACTTCATTGGTGATCTTGGAGTTGTACCTGCCATAAACGAGCCCATGGAGATTTTCTGTGATAATAAGGGAGCGGTTGCCTTGACCAAGGAACCGAGAGATCATGTTAGATACCGGCATATCGATAGAAAATATCACTTTATTAAACATCATGTAGCAGAAGGACAACTCGTAGTGAAGAGAATATCATCGGAAGATAACCCAACAGATCCGCTTACGAAGGGACTGAGTAGGGTTAAGCATTTGCAGCATGCTAGGAGTATTGGGCTGAAGGATGATATTAGCATAGATTAGATAGTATTAGAAACGTGTAATAGATAAATGTAATTAACATTTGATGATTAAATAAAGGAGTTTTATTTATAAGTAATGTTACTGTCTTATGTTAATTGTTTAACTATTGTTTCACTTTGCATGTTTTGACTTCCAGAATAATTGAGTTTATTAAGAATAATCGAATTGTTCAAATAGTCCACAATCGTTCATATGTAGGAAGTAGATATGAATGAAGATTGTCATGAATAGGTGTGTAGAGTGTCTAAATGGTGTTAGACATATCAAAAGATTGTTGCAACGTTCATGAGTGCTTATGAACTAGGTTTGAGCATTGGAACAAACTTGCGCTTGCTGGAATCACCTTATGGAATGTGATAGTAAATGGGTGATCGCAAGACGATAATATCATATAGTCTTAAAACCTAGATATATGGTTTGTTATTGGTTAATTGATTGTACATTGATAATGCGAAAACGCATTGGTAACTCGATGTTATAAAACGCATTGTTGTGTATAGTTGGTTAATGAATAAGTAAATGCATATAAGTCAAAGTTTATCTGTAACTTTTATCCTAAGAAGGAAAAAGTGATATCTCGGCCGCTCAATGATTTGATTTGACTTATGTGCCGAGCCCAGTCAGAACTGAATTGATGTGTTCGATTAAGTTCTATGTCAAATAAATCGTAAATCGAGAAACCAAATGCTAGACTAACTATTCCATAGTATTGTCAGCATGATATCTAACAGAGGGCTGTACGATCCCTTATCTAAAGGACAAGATTGATTAGATCAGAGTTTGACAACGTCTTTGAGAGCTACGATTGCAAATCGGAATGTACCTGTGCATATAGTTACTAGACTTATCCAAGTGGGAGACTGTTGGAATAGTGTCTAAGGCTGCAACTATATTAGGCAAGTTTTTGACCCGATTGTGCATGGTCCTTTTGGGTTGCCTTCACCATAGCAACTTGGTAGGATGATTTATTATGAGAGAATAGATATTATTAATATATTATGAGAATAATATAAGGAATAATAATATAGTTATTTGATTAATATAAGTCATAGATTAATTAGTATTAATTTAGTGACTTAAGGAGATTAATTAAATAAGAGGGTATAAACTGTCAATTGTTTGATAGTTAAACTTTAGACTGTAAATCCTTATTGGATAAAGGGTTGGACGAATTCTAGGCTAGGATAAGTCCTAAATTCGTCCAAGGCATTATCTTGGAAGGATTTAGATTGCTTTGAGTAATAGTTATCCAACTAGGGTTTGAGTTGTAACCCTTAAGGAGTCTACAAGTATAAATAGACCCTATGGCTGAGGGAATTCGACACATCTTCTAAAGTAAGGATACTCTGGTCGAATTCCATCCCCTCTCCTCTCCATCAAATCATCCTCTTTGCTAGTTGGTGTTTGTAAGCCATTAGAGGAGTGACAATTGTGACTCTAGAGCTTCAAGACAACAAGATCAAACAAGAGAATCAAAGGTATGTTTCTAGATCTGTTTTTTGTTGTTTTTACACCTAATAAGTCATTAGAAGCCTTGGATTGAAAACATGTTTAATAGAGAAACCTAGATCCAAGCATTAGGGTTTATATGCGCACTTAGGAATGTTCTTATGTACAAAGCCCATCACATATGACTTGCTGAGTCGCCCTTGCGACTCGCCGAGTTCCTTCAATCCTTAAGCCATATAGAACTATTTTAAGCCATGCGATGGCTCCAAATTACAGATCCAAGCTCCCAGGGCATGCCTTTCACGTAAAGTTGCAAACTTTACGTGCATGCATGGCTAAAAAGGTTCTTAATGCCAAAACTAAGCTCTTAATGGGTTTAATGCACAATGGAGGGGGGGGGGGGCGCTCATTCACGACCAAGACATGAACTTTATCCTAATCACAAAGTTGTTCATGAAATTCGTCAAGTCTATGGAAATCTTCATCAGACTCGCTGAGGACCATAACTTTTAACACGTCGATACACACACATTCCTAACTTGGGGAAAACTCATCCTAATCACCAAGTTGTTCATGCAACTTATCGAGTCTATGGCAATCTTCATCGGACTCGCTAAGTTGTTCATTCAACTCGTCGAGCCCACGGATACCTTCATATGACTTGTCGAGTCTCCCTTACGACTCGCCGAGTTCCTTCAGTCCTTAAGCCATACATTAAGCCATGTGATGGCTCCAAATTATAGATCCAAGCTCCTAGGGCATGCCTTTCACGTAAAGTTGCAAACTTTACGTGCATGCATGGCTAAAAAGGTTCTTAATGCCAAACTAAGATCTTAATGGGTTTAATGCACAAGCGGGTGGGGGGGGGGGGGCTCATTCACGACCAAGACATGAAATTTATCCTAATCACCAAGTTGTTCATGCAACTCGTCGAGTATATGGAAATCTTCATCAGACTCGCTGAGGACCACAACTTTTAACACATCGATACACACACATTCCTAACTTGGGGAAAACTCATCCTAATTACCAAGTTGTTCATGCAACTCGTCGAGTCTATGGCAGTCTTTATCGGACTCGCTGAGTTGTTCATCCAACTCGTCACGCCCACGGCTACCTTCCTATGACTTGCCGAGTCGCCCTTGCAACTCGTTGAGTTCCTTCAGTCCTTAAGCCATACAAAACCATTTTAAGCCATGCGATGTCTCCAAATTACAGATCGAAGCTCCCAGGGCATGCCTTTCACGTAAAGTTGCAAACTTTACGTGCATGCATGGCTAAAAAGGTTCTTAATGCCAAAACTAAGATCTTAATGGGTTTAATGCACAAGGGGCGGGGGGGGGGGGTCATTCACGACCAAGATAGGAACTTTATCCTAATCACCAAGTTGTTTATACAACTCGTCGAGTCTATGGAAATCCTCATCAGACTCGCTAAGGACCACAACTTTTAAAACGTCGATACACACACATTCCTAACTTGGGGAAAACTCATCCTAATCACCAAGTTGTTCATGAAACTCGTCGAGTCTATGGCAATCTTCATCGGACTCGCTGATTTGTTCATCCAACTGGTCAAGCCCACGGCTACCTTGATATGACTTGCCGAGTCACCCTTGCGACTCGCCGAGTTCCTTCAGTCCTTCAGCCATACAGAACCATTTTAAGCCATGCGATGGCTCCAAATTACAGATCCAAGCTCCCAGGGCATGCCTTTCACGTAAAGTTGCAAACTTTACGTGCATGCATGGCTAAAAAGGTTCTTAATGCCAAAACTAAGCTCTTAATGGGTTTAATGCATAGGGGGGGGGGGGTGGGGGCTCATTCACGACCAAAACAGGAACTTTATCCTAATTACCAAGTTGTTCATGCAATTCGTCGAGTCTATGGCAATCTTCATCGGACTCGCTGAGGACCACAACTTTTAACACATCGATACACACACATTCCTAACTTGGGGAAAACTCATCCTAATCACCAAGTTTTTCATGCAACTCGTCGAGTCTATGGCAACCTTCATCGGACTCGCTGAGTTGTTCATCCAACTCGTCAAGCCGACTGCTACCTTCATAAGACTTGCCGAGTCGCCCTTGCGACTTTCCGAGTTCTTTTAGTCCTTAAGCCATACATAACCATTTTAAGCCATGTGATGGCTCCAAATTACAGATCCAAGCTCCCAGGGGATGCCTTTCACATAAAGTTGCAAACTTTACGTGCATGCACGGCTAAAAAGGTTCTCAATGCCAAAACTAAGCTCTTAATGGGTTTAATTCACAGGGGGGCTCATTCACCCAAGACAGGAACTTTATCCTAATCACCAAGTTGTTCATGCAACTCGTCGAGTCTATGGCAATCTTCACCGGACTCGCTGAGGACCACAACTTTTAACACGTCGATACACACACATTCCTAACTTGGGGAAAACTCATCCTAATCACCAAGTTGTTCATGCAACTCGTCGAGTCTATGGTAATCTTCATCGGACTCGCTGAGTTGTTCATCCAACTCGTCAAGCCCAGGACTACCTTCATATGACTTGCCGAGTCGCCCTTGCGACTCGCCGAGTTCTTTCAGTCCTTAAGCCATACAAAACCATTTTAAGCCATGCGATGGCTCCAAATTACGGATCCAAGCTCCCAGAGCATGCCTTTCACGTAAAGTTGCAAACTTTACGTGCATGCACGGCTAAAAAGGTTCTTAATGCCAAAACTAAGCTCTTAATGGGTTTAATGTACAAGCGGGGGGGGGGGGGGGTATGAATCTAGAACTCGGGAAAGGTCCAGATCTGAAGTTACAACTTCAGATCTAGCTCATGTCTTGCAATATCACCTTACTCAAACCATTAAACCCTAGATTTCCACCATATGAGATCTAGAAGGAAAAGAGATACAAATGTCAACTTGATACCTTCAATGGGTGCCAACTGAGGCAGATTTCGGATTTCCCCTTGTTCTCCAAGTTCTTCCTCCCACAATGGGTGCCAACAGGGTTACTGCCAGCTGCGGGTGCCAATGAGGGGGGAGATGTTGAGGATGATGTCGAGAGTTGCTCGATGACCAGAGAACCGATTATGAGGGAGCCGGTTAGGAGGGAGTTATTTGGAGGTGCTCCTATCCCTCAGGGTAGTACCTTCAAGGTGTTCATGGACTGCAAGCCACCAAGGTATCATCGAGGTGAGAATGCATTGGAGTGCTTACATTATATTATGAAGATGGATCAGACCTTCCGTTTGGGTGATTTTACCGAGTGCCAGTAGTTTAACTATGTCGTGAGGATGTTCGAGGGTGAGGCGTTAAAGTGGTGGGATGCAGTTGAAAAAAAGACATACTGAGGTTGCTCAAGATGTTATGACTTGGAGAATTCTCAGCAAGAAGGTGGAGGATTGGTTCTTTAGTGAAGGCAGCAAGAAAGAGATTGCACTTGATTTCTTAGCACTGAAGGAAGGGAGCATGTTAATAGCAAAATACAACATAACCTTTATTGAAAGGCATAATTTGCCACTTACTACTATTCTACTGAGGATAAGATGGTATGAAGCTATGATGATGGGCTACCATTTAAGTATCCGGTCATGATTAGATCTATTACTAATCTCATTGAAGTTATGGACGATACTCAAAAGATCGAGAAGGATATAGTAATATGTAATGGTACCGCAGGTTGAAGGGGTGAGAAGAGGCAACAAGAGGGTTTGTTTGAATCCTCTAAGAAGAAGAAGGGTCACCAGGAAAAAAATGGCTCGTTGAGCATCTATATGAGGTGTCACTCCTCACACAAAGGGTCGTGCAACAACAATACTATGAGTTGTGGGTGTTCTGGAAAGTTAGGCCACAAGTAATCGAAGTGTAAGAGTATTAAGCCACTCTACTTCAACTGCCTTCAGATAGGACACATGATAGGGAAATGTCCAGATTTGAAGGTTTGTCCAAATGGCAGTAGGAAGAAGACCGATGCACCAAAATTACAGGCTCGAGGATGTTAGATGACCGCCGAGGAGGCTAGACGCGACAATAAGGTTATTTTCAATTTTTTTTGTTAATTGCATGCCTTCTAGAGTATTATTTGGTATTGGTCCTAGTAGATCTTTTGTATCTCTTGTACTCGGTGCTTGATTTGTGTTCCGGCGAAGTTCTATAGGTTATGTGTTAGATATTCAGGTGACAATAGGGAATTCTGTTCCAATTTGGGATAAGTATGATGGGTGTTATATAGTGCTTTTTGGACACACTTTTATGTGATTTGGATTCTAATTGAGATGAAGTTATTTGACGTTATCATAGGTGAGGATCGGTTGTCTGCGAATTGATCTGGTATTCTCTATTTTGATAAGCGCATCTGCATTCCATTTTTCGGAGGGGAGCCTATCTATGTCCGTGGGGAGAATTCGTTAAGTTCTCTTCCTATTATATTAGTGATGAAGGAACTCAAGTGCCTAAAGAAGGGTTATGAGGTATTCTTGGAAAATGCGATAGAGGGTCCTAAGAAGACTATGAGTCTCTCTGATATGGAAGTGGTTAAGGAGTATAACGATGTTTTCCCGGATGAGTTGTTAGCTTTGCCACCACCACGCCAGGAGTTTCAGATAGATCTTATTTCGGGTGAGGCTCTAATAGTCAAAGCACCCTATCAGTTGTCTCCTTTAGAAATGAAGGAAATGATGTCTCATCTTTAGGAGATACTAGAACGGGGGTTTATTTGACCTAGTTCCTCGCCTTGGGGAGCATCAGTCCTCTTTGTGATGAAGAAGGATGGTACTATGAGGATGTGCATCGGTTATCGCCTTATCGAGAGTTGAACCTGGTTACTATGAAGGATAAGTACTCTTTCCCAAGGCTTGATGACCTATTTGATCAACTGCAAGGAACACGTCACTTTTAGAAGAATGATTAGCGATCAGTTTATCATCAGGTGCAGGTCAGCGAGTAGGATACATCCAAGACAACAGTCAGGACACATTATGGACATTATGAGTTCCAAGTGGTGCCCTTTGGTTTGACGAATGCTCAAACAGTTTTTATGGACCTGATGAATCAGGTATGCCATCTATCCATGGACAAGATTTTTATTTTTTTCATTGACAACATCTTAGTGTATTCTTGGAGTATCGAAGATCAACGAAGGCACTTGCGAGAGGTGTTAAAGACACCTCAAAGGGAGAAACTCTGATTTGTTTATAAAAAAATTAAAAAAAAGTTTGTTAATATCTAACTATTTTTTATACATTTTTATGATTTTTAGGGTTTTTTTGTTTTACTCTTCCCTATATATATATATATATATATATATATATATATATATATATATATGTGTGTGTGTGTGTGGAAAAGTTCAATAGAGAATCATTATTAATTAAAAAACCAAGGAACTAATCCAAAACGTCCAAATTTGAAACGATCAACGACAAAGGGAATGTTTATAAACTTTTATAATGGACACACATGCACCAGATTATAACAAAACGACTTCCTTTTTTTAGTTTAATTTTTTTAGATTATGTTTTTTATCGGAAAAAAATATACAATTATTCGTGATTTTTCGTCCTCTTTCCATAGAGACTTATACTGATATATAAAAAATAAAGTTTTTTTTTTTCAAAAACCCAATTCATTTTCTTTGTTTGTTGAAAAGTTATTAATAAACATATCAAAATGCATATTTTCTAGTACTATAGATTCATATTGATGTTTAAAAAAATCAAAATTTCAGTTCAAATTCACATTGTGAACCCGCTCAGATTCACAGTGTGAATAATAGTAAGTTAGATTCACAACGTGAATAAATCTGTTTGTTGATTTTACAAAACAAATTTATGAGTAATGAAAACGTTAAAATATTATAAAAATACATGGAATATATTTCGATTCAAGTGTAAATTAACTAAGTTAATTTACGAATGATCAAAGAGTTGAAATAGTAAGTCAAATTCATATTGTCAATGTTACAAATTAAAATATTAACAGCTTAAATTCACAGTGTGAATCTGAACTGAGCAAATTTTTTCACATTATGAATGTTACAAATTGAATCATTTACAGTGTGAATCTAAATTGATCGAATTTTTTTTAATCGGTGTTGATGTTTATTAATAGATTACAAAAAATTAATATTTTTAGTATAATTAGTTTTTTGGATAAAAATAAATTAAATATTGAAAAAAATAACAAAATAAAGTTCACTTTTTTCGAAGAAAAAAAAGTTCGTTTTTTATATATCAACATAGATCTTTATGGAAAGAGGACAAAAAATCGTGAACAACGGTGTATTCGTTTTTATTCAATAAAAATGTGGCTTAAAAAATTTTTAATAAAAAAAAAAGATGGGTTTTTTGGTAAGCAGGTATATTTTTTTGGTATAATCTGGTATGTCTGCGTCCAATGTACAAGTATATATCTATTTAATTGGCCGTTGATCATTATGATTTTCGACGCTCACGATTGGTTTATTGGTTCCTTGTTAATTATGGTTCTCTATTGGTTCCTATATTATTCATATATAAATATGGTGGTTGGTGGCGGAGGTGGTGGTGGTAGTTGCAATGATGGTTGCGGTGGCAGGGATGGTAAACACGAGAATGTACTTACGTTTATATTAACATATGAATATCACATTCTTCCCGCCGGTACACGGGAACGTTTTGCGGCAAAATGAATTATGTAGTTCAGATTTTTTCCTGCGTTCTTAATTACATAATCATTCTGATTTGAACCAAAGTCTACATATATTCATTGAACATTTCAATGACCATGAACCCTTCAATTGTCATTGAATATCATATTAATTAAATACCGATGCCATCCAACTATGATCATGTTTAATCTATTTAAAGACAATTACTCATTTCACGTTATCCAAAAATTCAATTAAACTATACATCATTGTAGATGTTATAACAAGAAACGAATAAGAGGTGCAAGGTGTCAAGCATGAAGGTATACATGTACCTATGTACTAAGTACAAGTTTTTGATTCATGATGATGATAACTAGAGAATGTTCTAATAAATCAGGAGATACTATGAAACATTGAATAAGTATTAGAGGAGTTAAGGTGTAGAATAAAATGTTCAATGCCATGATGCAAGTATATAATATTGATGCTTAAATGGTAAATTTAAGATTTTTACTACATGAAAAAAGATACATTGCAAACGTGATTATTGAATACTCTACCCACCATATCCTTAAGAATAGGACTCACTTAAGACCTAGTAAACCAACCTCAAAGTTGACCACAAATTTCAACCTCAACAGCTAACATATGTTCCATCGATGACTTACCTAACTTGTAAAACCTATCTTTTCACTATAATTATATTATTTATCCCGACATCATGCTTTCAAACCTTGTAGTCCTTGTTTATATTTATGTCAGTTTCACTGTTACTTAGCCTAGCCCGCTTATAGTTTGTTTGTTTCTCATCGGAGATTTTGTTGTTATTTGAGTTGTTTAAAGTAAAAATATGAAGAAAACAATAAAAATAAATCATCTGTAATACATAGAACATCCGAGCAACACACAAAACTGAGCTTTTAATGAAGAAATAAGAGGAGGTCGTATTATTGATGAAATAAAAATGCGGTGCATGTGGATCGAACACGTAACCTTCAGATCTTCAGTCTGACGCTCTCCCAACTGAGCTATCCCCGCCTTTTTCTTTTTGATGCAAAATGAATTATATAGTTCAGTTTTTTTCCTGCGTTCTTAATTACATAATTGTTCTGATTTGAACCAAAGTCTACATATATTCATTGAAAATTTCAATGACCATGAACACTTCAATGGTCATTGAATTTCATATTAATTAAATGCCAACACCATCCAACTATGATCATGTTTAATCTATTTAAAGACAATTACTCATTTCACATTATCCAAAAATTCAATTAAACTATACATCATTGTAGATGTTATAACAAGAAACGAATAAGAGGTGCAAGGTGTCAAGCATGAAGGGATACGTGTACCTATGTACTAAGTACAAGTTTTTGATTCACGATGATGATAACTAGAGAATGTTCTAATAGATAAGGAGATACTTTGAAACATTGAAGAAGTATTAGAGGAGTTGAAATGTAGAATGAAATGTTCAATGCAATGATGCAATTATATAATATTGATGCTTAAATGGAAAATTTATGATTTTTACTACATGAAAAAAGATACATTGTATACGTGATTATGGAAAATTCTACCCACCATATCCTTACGAATAGGACTCACTTTAGAGCCGACAAACCAACTTGAAAGTTGACCACAAATTTCAACCTCAGTAGCTAACATATGTTCCATCGATGACTTACCTAACTTGTATAACCTATCTTTTCATTATAATTATATTATTTATCCCGACATCATGCTTTCAAAACCTGTAGTCCTTGTTTATATTTATATCAGTTTCACTGTTACTTAGCCTAACCCGCTTATAGTTTATTTGTTTCTCATCGGAGATTTTGTTATTATTTGAGTTGTTTAAAGAAAAATATGAAGAGAACAAAAAAATCATCCCTAATATATAGAACATCCGAGCAACACACAAAACTAAGCTTTTAATGTAGAAATACGACGAGGTTGTATT